TGCATCGCCCCACCTTCGCCGTAGATGGTAAAGACACGGGTGTTATTATCGCGCCACGTGAGTTCACGCGTTGTCACGTCGTATCGTAAGAATGAGTCACGGCTACGAGTCTACGACGACTCGTCGTAGTCGCGCGACGGAAAACATCTCTGTTTGTTTCTTGCCTTCGTCCTCTTTCCCTCTCCCGTAAAGTATTCCAAACGACCCCCTTCGCCGACTTTCCTCGCCGCGTCTCCGCGTTTCCTTCGCGCCGATGAGGTCCCGCGCGTCCCGAGGTAGTTGTAGCGCAAAATGAGTTTCTCGAAGAATTGAATCTACATGGAGAAAAAAATTGGAATCGTTAAATCGATCGAATTTCCAACAGCGGTGTAATTGATGCTAATCTTCTCGATTCAATGGCGGATATTATTGAAACTGCCGCGTGTATTGTTTCTATAATTGCTTATGTATTGTTTCAATAATTGAAGTAATAGTTTCAATGATATTGCTATTGAGTCTACAAGATCTACCCGAGTTATGCGGGCTGTTGGAAGTTCTATTGCTTCAACAGCATTTTTTTCGTGTATATGTAGGTTTAAGTATGATCTGATTATTAGCGCGATTATAAGTAGATTGACCATTCGGAAGCTGAGATATTCGCGACTAATGACTTATAACTTTTTATACATATTCTTTGAGGTTAATGTCCTACTTTAAACTTCTATTTTTAATTCCTCCTAAGCCACAATTAGGATTTTAATGAAAAACAACTGTGATATTAAGGACTAATATAGAGATGTTAAACAAATATTTCAGAATTATTGACCGTTTTGTTTTGAAAATATAGCAATAGGAAATTTGCAATTTATAGAAATACCCGCAATATACATATGCACATATTTAAATATTTATGTCACTTTCTACTATGTGCGCACCTTTATTAGTTCAACTGACGCATAAATGAAGTATTAAAAGAAAAATAAAAAATTAATATCTCCGCGTCTGTAATATTATGTATATTTCTCTTAATTTCGTTCGAAATTCACATTTATTACTCAGATAATTAAAAAAGTTACAGTATTTTATTTTCAGTAAATAATAAACTTACACATAAAAGCCCTTTAACACTTTAATGGCCGCTCACACAACATGTGTGTGATAGCCGGAACAACTGTTATTGTCCGCTCACACAACACGTGTGTGATGCTACCGCCGAAAATTATTGGCCAGTACCACACTCTCTGTGTGATGACTTATGAATGTAAACAAGTGATTTTATGAATGTAAACAGCAAATTTTAATAAAGTTTTTTTAAATTAATTCTTCAAAAATATTGCCGGCCCCTGGCGACGTTTGACTGTATAGACGTGCGGCTATTAAAGTGTTAATATCGTCACTGAAAATTCGGCGCTCTGCGACATAATTACCTTAAAACGTTAACCGACGCCTCGATTTCCGGTTGTGCGAAAGCTGGCGCGCTAATGGTCGAATTACCGGGAATTTCTACGACAAAATGTAATTTCATAGGCATGTACAGAGTGTTGACCGGAAATCGTAGCACAACCGGAAGCAAGTGCGTTTTTCCATGTATGCGTATGTGAGTGATTCCTCCGCGTAAAAGTAAGTTGAAAATGCAAATCGTCCACACGAGGCGTCCTTTTCGAGTGAGTCGAATTTGCTGATTCTCGTCGCGGGTGCGCGTGGACTCGGCTGTGCCTTGTCCTTCACCTCGTTTCACCGGCTTCCCGTTGTTGTTGGCCGAACAATTTCGGTTTTTTCGTCACAGTCAATTATGCTCCGCGCGTGATCCGACGCGACGCGGTGGCGGCGGTCGCGGCGCCGGCCGCGACATTTAATGTGTCATTCCCCGTAATAACGCGACACACGTCACGCCGATCGCTCTCGTAATACCGCCGTCGCCGATCGTTCGTACGTTCGTTCTGCTCGGTCGTTCTGCACGGGCGACTTTCGAGTTTATCCGGGCATACGTGACGCGACGTGATACCGCGCGCGCGCCTCCCTCCTCACCTTGGATTCGGACTCTCTCTCTCTCTCTCTACCTTTACGAGGCGTCGATCGATCGCCGACGCGGCGCGGAAACGCGTCGCGGAAAGGAATAAGAAAAACGACGCATCCGGCCATCCGGACGTTAAAGTCCGACGACGCCGTTTCAGCGTCGCGAAATAGATCACCCGGCTTATCCGGCTTTATAGCCGACGGCGAGTACGCCCGCGCGGAAGCTTTTTCGCGCACGTACCGCGAGTTATTTCAACATAATCGCTCCGCGAACTGCCGCGCAGCAGGCAAAAGCGGGGGGGGGGGGGGNGGGGAGAAAGAGAGAGGGAGAGAGAGAAATAGATGACAGAGAAGAGAGGGGAGCGGAGGGGCAGGAGGGAACTAAGAATCAGCTTCGGGAAAATATGATTTGCTCGATTCACGTGTCCTTCCCGGAGAAATCAGGCGGTGCCGGGGTTGAAAATTCGCGAGAGACGCGTATCGCTGTGATTGCTCGCGCTGTACTACGTTCGCTCTCTTCAAGGAGATTATTGAGAAATTCGAACAATCCGCAACGGCAGGCCTGCGTCTGATGCGTCAATTATCGAGAAATGTCAGCTCGCGGCGCGAGGGTGAGCGAGAGAGAGCGCGCGCCCACTGTAAAGCCGCGCAACGCCCGACGAAGAAAAGCGGATCAGCGCGAAATAGCTGCACCGGAGAAGGAAAAAGGTCAATCTCGGCTAAAATTATAGTTATTCTCGGCGCTAACTATATTTTCCGCCGCTTTGACAAAGACGCAGTGAGAATTTTGAGGAATTTCCCACCCCCCACCGTTTGACCTGCGTCTGACGCAGTCGCAGAATGCATGTGACTATCTTTGCTCACATACACACACACACTGTGTAAAAGTATTTGTTAGAAAAATTATTCTTCTGACTGCAATTATTTTTATATTATTATTTTACATTTTATTAATATATCGTATATTAATTTATATATAATTATATATCATATCACGTTAATATATATATATATATATATATATGAAAATATCGCCATAATTTCAATATTATATGTAAAACATTATGTGTAAACATTTCAACATTATGTAAAATTATGTAAAATTTAATTGATATCGTGTACAATTCTTGCAATAAATCAGTAATTACAGTTTTACAGTAATTACAGTTATGTACGTTTTTTTCTTATTTAAACTATCGAAATCCAAACAATTTTAGCATTTATTCAAATTAGTGACCAGTACGATATATTATTTTATATTAATAAAAATTAAACGTAAATAGTTTTAGCAATAATTAATAGTTACTTTACTGTGCAATTAGTATATTATAGCAGTCACAAATGTCTAACACTTTTTTCCAATGCAGCGAGAATTTTTATACACTTGAGGAGAAAAATAGATCCATCGCCCTGGGGAATGTTTCGACACGCGGTATATCGCGAAGATCTCGCAGTGCGTACGTCCTGCGGACGTGTACGTTGTTGTGATATATCTTAGGAAACGTCTGAAAAGCATGTGGATCCATGCTGAAGAGCATGGAGATTTCGCGTTTGTTCGTTCGGCACAATCGCGTTCCTTTGACGCACGAAGACGTCGGGGAACTTAGCGCGGTGTCTCGTCTAAAACACGCAATCGCGAGCTTTCGACGGCGTCGACGGCGGTAGTGGCGGCGGAATGGCGTCTTCGTGTAAACCCCGATGATGACGCGCTGGCACCTAACAACGCGGATATCTTCAAACAGCGCGCGCGCATCTCGCCTCGTTGCACCGCGCGTCACAGAAGACCTTCCTGGTTCCTATCGCGAGCGAATTCCGAGTGCGCACCGGGCTGCCTGTGAGCAGTCATACTACAGAATTAGACTCGCCGGCCTCGTCGAGTCCTCCGACGGAAAATCCCGGTGAAACCGGGAAATTCCCAAGGGGGTGGTGCGATGGGAGACACGAGTTCGATGAAAAAACGTAAACTTTGGAAGAGAAGAAATTCGTATCCTGAGATATGACTTTCGGTATTTGCGATCATTTATAATTATAATTTGCACCATTATATCAATAATAATAATAATAATATATTTACGGGAAAATACCCTTTGGTTATTTTTAAAATAGGCCGAATTGCCTGTAAAGATACGAAAGAAGAATATCCAATCGAATGTTACATTAAAAAATAAATTATAAATTAGTAATAAAGTACAATGATATTGATGCGAAAATAAAAACAATAGGCAGGAAAAGACAAAAAATTAGTAAATAAGCAATATATAAAAAGAGAAAAAATATACACATAATATAAATTAATTAGGTCGAGTTAATCTTTTAACGGCAAGATGAATTTTCGATGTATCCAAGAAAGTGGGGTTGGGTCCGACTCTAAGCTCTATTTTGTTCATTTTTCATATAATCAATGTACCAGATGGTTTAAAAGAAGTAACTAATAACATGAAACATCCTTTAAGAAGAAAAACAGCGCGTACACGTTGTAAAATAAACGAAGTCGTGGGGTCAATCTGACCCCTCAACTTACCGTTAGAAGGTTGAAGATGGCGGTAAGTGAATTTCTAAAAATTTGAAGATATTCTATTGAAAATATCATATATATGTATATATAATTTAATATAAATAATTCTAATTACTATCACAATACTACTTATAATTACAATTGCACAAATGAAATAATTATAGTCAGGAGAACGAATTTTTTGTGGGAGGACGTCATTACAGTGTAAGCAATAGCAACATACAACCGTCCTAACAATCACACACGCATCTTGCCACAATTATTTTTTGTCTGAACAACAAGAACACAATTAACATTGAAAATGACAATTTTCATAAAATTAACCATCTTTTCTCTCTCTCTCTCTCTCTCTCACTACGCAAGAGACCCTCCAACGAGGGACGCCTCGTCCTCGCGCGCTAAAGACGGGCCGCTGACACGTATCTTTTGTCGCACTCGCGCGACGAAAGTCGTGGGGTCAATCTGACCCCTCAACTTAAGTCTTAGAAAAGTCTTCAAAACACCTTCGCGGAATCGCACTCTCGAGGAAACGGGAACGCGCTTTTCTCTCACGCATTTCGCGCAAAATCGCGAAAGTTCAGTTTTCCGCCCATTGTGCGCACTAATCTGCGCACACGGAGAGACGATGACGACGACGCGGTTGCATCGGTCCGTCGCACACAGCCAACCGCGGCCCTGAAGAGTCTCGTTTGGCGCGAACTGCTTACGTCATCGCATCGCCGCACGCAACATTTTTATCGCCTCGGAAAACCATTCGCGCGCGCTCGCCCTATCCGGCTCGCGCGTTCTCCACCGCTTTTCCCCGGGCTTGCTCATTAGTTTTTCCCGGTGTGCAACATATCGCGTCACGTCCCGTCGTCATTCGTCCGCTTCCGCTCGGCGTATTTTCAAACGGCGGGGCTCGTAGATTTTCCAGGATTTCGTAACGTCGCGATATATAGCTGCGCGACAGCGGCATGACGCAATCCACGAGAGAGAGAGAGAGCCGCGTCTCAGAGCCACCGTGCGTGAGAGATATGCTTTCTCTCTCTCTCGCGCGCGTGTGCGGGCGGTGCGTGTTAAAAAGTCGTTCGTGCTCACGCACGCACAGCAGGCACATAGTACCAGCACAGCCGTAGTAATCGTCGTCGTCGGGAGGCTCTATCGTCGTGCGGCTCGCAATAACGCCGTGACCACACGCTTCAAACACGTGTGGGTATATAAATAAGCTTTATGACGTCACCCCCGCGAGAAGCAGCGCGCGATTCTGGTCCCTTCCCTCGGCCCCGCTCTCACTCTCGTTCATCTTCTCTTCCCCGATCTCCGATATCTCTCTCGTTCTCTTTGAGCTTCTCTTCGTCTCTCCTTCTCTATCTCTCTTTCTTGCTTTCGAAGCGGTCGCGTCGCTCAATTGCGTTTCCGCTTCGAATTATTCTTTTTTCTGCCCGGAAGCGCAACAGAGGGCACCGCGGGGTTCAAGCGCGCGCACGCGAGATTCAATGAAACGTAAGAACGGGAACATCGGATGGCAAATATAGGAGGTGTTAATCTGCGCTGAATGTGCGCGTAGGAGGGAAGTAAAAAATCAGCCGGGGGTCGCGCGGATTCTTCGGGAGAATTCTCGGAATATTCTATTCGTCCCGGTTTATTTCCCGTGCACTGAAACCTATGGAGAGACTGTTAAGGCTGGCGGCACGCGCGAAAACGTAAGCAACGAGACAGTCAGTCGATTATTCTTCGATCGTGAGGCGAACGATCGTCTGTGATTGCTCTATTTTCCTGCTCCTTACCTTTCTGGCACGTGAAGAAACAAAACCTTTTATTGTGTAGGCATACACAGTAAACAGTTTCGCAGTAACGTACAAACGGTCCAGCCAAATTTTGGTGCCACTTTAATAAGGTATGTTACAAAGTAACATGTTAACAAGGTGAACACGTTAATTTAGCATATCCGTATATACTTTCCGACATATTTTCCGAAGTAACACAGAAATTTAGACCGGCCGTTTGTAACGCAAAATTTCTTACTACGTGAGCATCGCTTACATACACTTATGCAATCGATAAGATATCCCCCTTACTCCACGCATGGACGTGCTACGCGATTTCCGTAATCCACTGTTCCGCTCGCTCCTAAACAATGAAATTAGCAGTCTGGTTGTTGCAAAGATGTCCGTGGGTTCCGCGATTACGTACGTTATCGCGATAAGCGCCCTGTAGAATCCATTCTCGCGCTCCGTCGACGCTCTTCCTCCTCGTGGCCGAGGGAGTGTGCACGATACACGCATAATCGGTTAGAATAGAGTCTTACGCAACGAGAAAACAGATGGTCCGGTGGAAACTCCGCGAGAAAACGCGCGAGGTCGTTTTCTTGTCTACCGTCACGGGTGCTGAAATATGGGCCGCGCGCGGCAATAAACCTATACGTAAATAACTGTAACGAGGCGAGCCTTCGCGTCGTCCGAGCGCGCGAGTCGAGACTTACGTACCCGCCCGTATCCGCCCGACAGCAATTCCGACGATTAATACTTGGCATCAAACTTGCCGTCAGCGCGACGCTCGCCCGCTCGCTAGGAAGGCTCGGAAACTTCAGCTATTCGCGGACTATTCGCCGGCGATCGCTGCACGTTTGACGGACGACGAGTGCGCTCGAACATGCATTTCCGCGTACACACGTCATAACTCCGTGAATCTCCGCGAATCTTCTATTTTAGACCGTACATCCCCCCCCCCCCCCCCCCCGCNCGACGCGCATGGAAACCCTCCTCTTCGTTTCCGATACACAGAGGAGTCTCGTGGTTTCGCTTGACTCGAAGTGTTTACCTAACCTTCGCACATTCGAGGAAAAAATAGTTAAAAATTTATCTGTGGGATTTCAAATTTATCTCGCATATGTTCTTCTTATCTCTCTGTGTGAAGTAAGCTTCGCATTCTACGAATAAAGTTTTACGAATTTTTTCGTCGTCGCGAGGAAAGGTGGGGTAGCGGAACGTGAGCGGAAAGGTGGGATCGTGAGTGGGCCAAATACATGAATATGCCTTCTGTTTGATTAAAAGAAGAAAAGGGTACGAAAATCAGGTGAAACAATAAGCAGAAATATATTTTCCAGAAATATTGCAGTAATACGTGTAATAAGTAAACGTGCCGTGTGTGGGGTCATGAATGACCCCCTACCTTTCCTTGCGAGGATTGACGCGTGATAATGACCTAGTAATTGTATTTAATTGTCTTTAATTTCTTTTCTTTATGGCGGCAAAAAAAGAAACTACCCCGTGTGTATGAACACATATACAGGGTGTTCAAAAAAACCGTTAAATATTTATATGGTAGATAGTACACACTGTACTGATGAGACAAATCTTGGTCGAAGGCTCAACCGTTTCTAAGATATAAACATTCTTGTATGTTAGCATCATGATTGGCTTATTGACTTCTACGCGTCGCACGAGAAGAAGATAATCCGTCTAAATCGATCTCGATATTTCCAGGAAGTATTCCACATATCCTCCCGCCATTTCCAGGCACATCGGGCATCTTCTCCTTACAGATTTACGAGCATAATGACAACTAAACGATTGCCAGTGAAATCTTTCTAAAGTATATATGGAAATTGAGCGAGGACATTCAGAACGTAGTTCGTAAACACCGAGGTAAATCTGCACGTCGCATGTCACACGTAGAAGCCAAAAAGTTAGTCATATTTATTTATGATACCGATATACAAGAACGTTTATATCTCAAAAACGATTGAGCCTCCGACCTATGTTTACTAAGACTTTTTCGCTCAGTACAGTCCGTCATATAATTATTGAATGGGTTTGTTTTTTAACAGCCTATATGTGTGTTAATTTCATGCGGTCAGTTAAAAGAATGCTGAGATCTCTTTCCGGGCGCGATATCTCGCGACATATAACGCGGCGATATAATGGCACGTATTCCGCATTATTCCGAGTGAGCTTAGTTAAAACCGTTCCGCGTAATTATCCGCGCAATTTATTCGCGGCAGCACTCTCCGCGTCGCTTAGCATGAGAATAACGGGCGTGTGCGAGTGGCCTCCGGGAAAAACGAGTAGCTATGAAAAGTTACCGGGCGGGAGAAACCGGTGATGGTACCGAGCGATGAGGGCGAGGCAGGCAGGGAGAAGAGGTCGTCGCGGCACCCTCGTAAATCCGCGATAAGTATACGCAAAATGTATGAAAGAGATTTTTCGGGCGTGGCGGAATCATTTGCGGAGTATCTCGGGCGCGCGGAAACTCGCGATAACGCGGAGGATAACTGAAAAGTCGATGTCGGTTCCACGGCATCCGGTATCGTCGTGTCAAGCGATCATCATTGCGACTAATAATCCCGAAGATCCCTGAAAACCCCGTCGACTCTTGATAATCTGAAAGATTATTTACCGACAGTAATAGATTTGTCTTTAGCTCGAAAGCAAGACGATCGACGTTCATTGAGAAAATTAAATTAAAATTATTAGGCTTGAAAGTAACATTGAGGAAGTCGAAATCGAAAGATTTTTATATAAATCGAACCTTAACCTAACTGTAATAATTTGAAAGATTTTTATATTCGGCGGAGAACACGTAAGGAAAAATCTGTAGACGCCTCCTCCAACTTTCCATGTAGAGTTTTACAATCGATTTTATATCAGGCCATTATTAAAGTGACGGAATTTCGATATCGGCATTTCGACGCTGGTTGCGAATATCGGTTTCATTCGATGCAATATTGATTTCATTCGAATGATAACTCGGACTCAACAGCAGTGATCAATTCTTAACTGGCCATTCGCAAACGTCAAGAGCGAATTTCTGTCGTACAGTGCTCGACACTCATTGCACGTACAGAGTGAAAAACATTTTGTATTTGTGTTAAAACCTTCCGCAATAATGTCTTGTCAAAATATTTGCGTTATATTTTTAACACACCCGTGTGTTAATTTAACATATTGTGTTTGTGTTATTTCAATATATATTTTGTCTTGAGTCGATATTCAACATGTACAAGTGTTAAAATAACACATTTTACATTTCTCTGTCGATTAACGTATTTTAACTTTGCGTTAGTTTATGACATAATATAAATTGTATTACTTTTCAACACACTGATCTTGCGTTAAATTAGCACAAAACTTGTGTGGGCCGTCTGTGACGCGTGAAATGTCTTGAATTTAACACAAAATTTTCTACCGTACAGAACATCAATCGATATCCGAGACTTCGAGAATCATTATTTAAGTACAACGTATTACTTGAGCGTAATATATATTATCCAAGAAGAAATAACAGAATTACACGGTGGGATCTCCGCGCGAAATTCCGCCTCGTAAAGTTGTTGACGTGTGAATTTCGCCCGAAAAGTTTCATTTGTCACCTCAAGTACCTCGTATCTCGCGATAAAAAAAAAACTTCCGACTCTCTGGATGTATTTCCGGCGTCTCCATGCGACGATATATCGCGTATACTATATCGCGAGCATATATACGAACACGTGTTATGACGGAAGCACATGCGACGAGCGTAAACGAGCGCGAAACGAGATGCCTGGGAAAAGATCAGTTTGTTTCGCGTTTCCATGTCGATTTTTCGCCGAGATACGCACGCGGGAAGAGTGCGCGAGGTTTTCGAAGCCGGTCCTCCGCCGACACCGGGGGGACGCGCGCATAACACATTGTAGTACATTCACGGCTTCACACCTCTCCGAGTGGCGGCGCGCTCGGCTCAAGGGAGTGGTGCGCAACATTGTCGCGGGCCCCGCTTTGAGATTCGCCGCTCGTATCGATATCTACGCGTGGAAAAGTCGCAGCGACGTGAGACTGACCTGCTTTCGACGAAGGGGCGGCCCTTTCTTTCCGATTCATCCCAGCGGTGTCGATTATACCGTTGATTTAATTTTATGCAATAGCGTTTCGATTTAAAAGCTTTCTCAATTTTATCACCAAATCTAATTACTTTAGTCAACTTATTTTTGTCTTTTTTGACATAAACGATCAACTGCGGTCATGTAGACCCCAATTAAAAATCACTATTATTAACCAAATATGGCGTATTACTGACTGCTCTGGAATTTACTGTTATTTATCGACATTATGAATATAGATTTACTCGCTACTTTTTGGAAAAAAATGAGGAGAAGCTAAAAAAATTTAAGAAACGGAACGAGCACATGAAATGTCTTCTTATAACAGTATTTCTACACGAGTTTTGCACCTTAACGAATTTTTACAGGCTTGTACTATGAATAAGACCGGGTCACGGTCAATTCTTGCACAGGTTAGATTTTGAAATGTCCAAATAAAAGATAAAGTATTCGTTCCCGATCGGTAAAAAAAAACGCACTGTGACGTGAGCTTCATTTTCTGACCGCAGGGATACGAAACGAGCCCAGGTGACTGGATTCCCGGGTTAATTTCATCTTTTTATCAAACGTCGATCGACTTGCTCTTGAGCTAAAAATAAGTTTACGGTAAGAACGCGACTTCGATCCAACGAGTCGGAAAGAAAATAAAACGCGTTGCGGAAAATACAATATTTTGCTCGTTATAGTATAAGATTACAAGTACTCATTGCGATCTAATGTATCTTTGCGAAAACGATGAAATTTTCGGCTGCGGCGGCACTCCACTCGAACAGATCGCGTTGCTAATATCGTTAATACAGGAAGGAAATAAGCAAAATCACTCGTATCGCTATATTTCCCACCTAGATACATCTTACATTTTGCCACCCGGTTTTCTGCTCCGCTTAAATTCATTCTGTCCGATTCTGTTACAGGGACACCGAGTACGAGGTTGGATTAATAAGAGAGAGGGACGAGAGGGCGGCGAAACGCGGCGACGACGTCGTTGTTGTTTAGAGCGTTAGACGATAGAGACTGTAAATGACTGAGAAAGGCGGGCGGCTGCATATCTCTCTCGTGAGAGACTCGTCGCGACACAATAAGAAGAGATTGAAACCGACGAGATGGAAGAGAGGAAGAGGACAGAGGGAGGAAGAGAGAGAGAGAGAGAGTCGAAGAACAGGAGGGACCGAGGACAGGAGGACGGAGTGTACCTTACAAAATGTGACATTACCGGGGACAAGCGATCATTAAGGCCACCCCGTGGCTAAACAAAGGGATCATTGAGAGACTTAAGCGAGGCTGCAGCAGGCAGTTTAGAAACTAGTCCGCGCAGTCGCTCGATCAAGCGAATTGTACATTGCCACTTTCGCAGATTTCGCCCCCCCCCTCTCTCTCTCTCTCCCCCTTTCGCGTCTGCGTTCTCACTCGCTCGCCCGCCTTTGCCGTTGCCGCCACTCTCCGCCGTCCGTGCACGTCGATGCACTTCGACCTCTGGACAACGGGAACATCTCCCACGGGTGCCATGCGGGTTCCCATTTTGATTTCGAGGTTAAATTGATCGGCCGTTCGAGCCTTAACAACACCGTTCACCAAGCACTATTTTCTCATGAGCTTAGCTCGCGCCCGGATTGAGCCTTCGCGCACACGCGAAGCGCGCGGTATCTCTTCCTTATCTCGATATCGCGTTCACTCGGAACAGAATAGAGTCGTTATCGCGTGTATATGTGAGCGCGTGAAACGGCTCTCCGGGTGAAAAATCATCTCGGCGTTTTCGTCGTTTAATTGCGAATTCGGCTTATACACGTGATCGTTCATACGCGGGCAAAAAAAAGAATCAGCTCTCACAGCGAAAAACTACGTGGGGAAAAAATTAGTCTTACATATAAATCAACGATATATATTCTCATATATAAGCAAGAATATATTATAATCTTGGGAAATTTTTAGTCCCGATTTGATTGAACTTGAGTGTTACACGCACTCAATCCGAGACTAAAAATCTCCTAAGAATATTCTTATATTCTTGTTTATATATGAGAATATTTATCATTGATTTATATGAGACTCTTTTTCCGTGTAGCTCCCACAACTAAAAACTAAGTCCGATAACTGGGTATCAGTTGTATATATGTTGATTCCTCTTTCCTGTGCGTGTATGCACACTTGACCCACTTGGAGATTACGAATTCGCGATTTCCACCAACGGAGAATCCGCGAGTCGAGAGATCCTCTTCGAGACGTAACCACGTACCAAACGTCGCGAGCAAAGTTTCATAATACAATCGCGATCGGGATAAGCCGCGGAGAGACGCTCCGCAGCGGTATTACGGCTCTCTCTCTCTTTCTCGTTCTCACGCGTGAGATACATGCGAGCTCGCGACGGTGGCTTAGATTTTCATACATTATACCGCGCGCTTCGTATCGGCTTCAATTGCACCGTATGCATACCGATTGGCCTCGGCATATCGATCCCCATATTGAGGGGAGAGATAGAGAGAGATACGTCATCCACTCGCCGAAAAGCTGGCGCTTCAACATAGCCGGTATATGCGCCATGTCCCTTTCTCCATCCGGGGTAATCTCATTTCTTACCGACAACGACGAGATCGGCGACGGCCAACGTTGTTAACGTATCGTCATTGAAATCCGATTACATGCTTCACCGCCGTCTCGTGCGGACAAAAAGCCACGTGGAAGGGGTGGGGAGGAAAGAAGGAAGGAAGAGGGAGAGATGAAGGGGAAGAAAGGAAGAGAAGAGTAGGATGTCCACCGCAGAGAGCGTAATTTTCCTCCCTCCTCCCCCTTCTGCTCACTCTCTTTTTGTCCGTTTTGGGACTTTTTCTCTTTGCGCGGACCTGATCGGCACGGTTTCAATCCTGGGAATTCATTTTCTCGCCCGATCTGCGACCGGAATCGCACACTCGTTGAATTTACGAGGGGCAGCGGGGACACGTGCGGTTTCGGTGCCCCGAACTCGATGCACGCTGGTGACTCCCTCTCTCGTTATTTCCCTTTTTGCCACCCCGGTGGATCGCCGCTAGCGGTGAAATCAGAATTTTATTACGGATATATGCGCGTATAGTTTTAAAGCGTGCGCGAGGCAACGAGCAAAGCGACGTAAACGCGAATGTCAGGGGTTAGGACCGACGGCGATTGCTGTTTAAAGAACCAAGAATTACGGAGTTTGCATCATTTTTTTACGGATCGGACAGACCAGTAGATAGATTTATTTAAAAAAAGAAACGGTATATATATAGAGAGGGAGAGAGAGAGAGAGAGGAGACGATCGGATAAGAAAAATCAAACCTTGGGATTACGCAAATTCGGCTGCAGAAACTTACATCGTGTCAAATTGTATAGAAATCGAGTTGGATGAATAATCCGACGTAAAAATTTAAATTGTAAACGTAGTTGTATGTATGATACTCTTTGATATTCTTTGGATTACCGGAAGGTTAGTCTAATTACACAACACGGGTAATTTCATCTCCGGTTGGAAGATTAAGTCGGATGATAAATACGAGTAATGTGCCGGGTCAGCGCGTTACGATCGCGTGGTTTGGTTAAATTTTGAAATTAAGTACGACTGCTCTGAAAAAATCGCAAGGACAGAATACATGAAGCTATCAGCAGCCAAAACATGGATATGTTAGTGTCATTTAAATATTAATATTATTAAGATTAATACGTCTGTGGAATTTTTCGCTCATATACTATAAACGATTCAACTAAGTATCACGAAATTAAATAAAATTGCTTCGAAAACGGTAGAGACAGAATATATGGAGCCATCGAGAGCGAAAAGGAGTTATATAAAAAAAAAAAATAATAAGAATAAAGAGTATACGCTTGACGTGTGAAGATTCTCCGTGCACGCAGACCGGATAATAACCTGGACGTGTGTTATTACACGTCGAAATTTCACATGTCCTTCTCACAGACACATTAATATTAACGATATTAAATTTGGGGTTTATATTATATATAAGCAAAAACTGAAAAGAAGCGTTGAAATTTTGCCGAGAGGAAGAATCGGAGCAATTGGTTTGCCGTGTGTAATCCTGGAATTGAGTTTGGAATTTTAATTCGTTCGGAGTCGCCTCGGCCGATCATTTTTCCACAGTGTGTTAGAGTTAATCCGCCAATATATGAAAAATTCCCGGTCCCCGTTGTTTTTTCCATTTCTGTCCCGCACGCGCGACCGGTCGACATTCACGCCGCTGATATTAACGGGAAAGCGGACAAACATCGGCAACTATCGGGCTCGCTCGCGTCCGTCCTTCTCCCTCGCCTCGCTTCATTGAATACAATGTATTTTTCGCGTATGTATTATTCGCCGATCGGCGGCGGCCGGTCTCACGGCGGCCGTAACCGAATTTACATTGGGCGGCGGCGGCGACGCACCGGAACAGTTATCGACTAAATAAACCGGAAAATGGCGCCGGCCGTGGAAAATGAACTTTGGAAATTGCCGGGCGCGCGGCGCGGTGCGTCGTGCTTAATTGAATATATCAAGTTAATTAAGTGTCCACATTCTCATCAATATTAATGCCATTTACATTAATCAGGTTGTAATAACGCGCTGTGTGATACCGATGTGATGTGTCGCGGCATAATGTCCCGCCGACGCAGGAATGATCGCTCAAGTCGCGCGACGACGATTAATTACGGTACTCTTGCGAAAGAGAGAGAGAGAGGGAGGGAGAGACTGACGTCATATCGTTAAACATGTGCGCGGGTGAACGCGCGGGATAAGCGTGCGTCGTTCGCGATTACGCTTAATCAGCCCCAAGTACGTCCGATTATCATTCCCGTGCAATAAAGATCGCTTTTAATCGAGGAAAAACCCACCCCCTCCTTCCCTCGTTCTCTTTCTTTCTCTCTCTCTCTCTTTCCTCTTGTGCACGCGCGACATATTAATAAGTGTTTGCGCCGCCATTTATATTCATTTTCTCTCTTACCGTGCGTCATTAGCTTAATCGCTGACGTTATCCTCACTGGACCCTCCTCATGCGGACAGCCACTCGCATGCTCTCGCCAGCTGTGTCATCGTCTGAAACAGAAAGAAAGGGACGTTGTAAAAAAAAAAAATGAAAATTCGTCGAAACGGAAACTCGAATTGAGAAATCAAACGAATTCTGTGCACGTACGACGCGCTAATTGCCTTAATTTCCTCCCGGTGAAATTTTCCTTTAATCCTCTAACGGTGTAAAACACGCTCAAAATTTGTTCCAATCAAGCGATCGTATAAAGCTGACACGCTCTCCAGTCAGATTTATCGTCTAATTTATTTAATCTTCCGCCAGAGGTGGAACTACTCGTACTATCGTGGTCGAATCGAGCTTTCCATGGCTGAAAGCACATCCGTATCATACGCACAATCACGTGCCAGTTTCGTTAACCTCTCTCCCGCTGTTAATCATTAAATTTATTCCCCACTGTTATTATTCTATTGTTGATTATTAAATATTGTAGCTAAAATTCCTACAGGGAGGAAAAGGTTTTCTTGGACTTTGTGTACGTGTTTGTTTGATAAGGATTTGTTCAATATAAAGAAGATAATTTAATATTAAATATCATTTTGTTTGAGTGGAAATGTTGTTGTTTCACTGGCATAAATCATGTCGTTTGATAGAAAAAACAGTATTAATTAGAGGAAATCATATTTGGTTTTCAATTGCTTCGATAAAAAAGTTCTATAAAATCCGAACGAAATCTTTTCCTCTGTGTACGTTAGACCTTCTCGGAATTCAGTTCGGTGTTTCTTCGATTCAATTCTACTCGAATTACTAAATTATTAACTTCATTCCTCATTGTTATCATTCTATTGTTAATTATTAAATGTTGCGGTTGACATTTCTGAACATTCTCGCCATTCAATTCTTCTCCGAATCGATACGATTGCGGTATACGCAACCGACTGAAGATCTGCGAAATATCACGAAGGAATAATCCGAAGGATTTTCTTCCTTTCTCCCGATCGTTTCTTTTTTTTTTCTCAGAATGCGTAGCGACGCGT